CGCCACATAAATACTATTTATTCCATTTCTAAATTGGGGTAGCCCTTTAGAACCTCCACACCCTCGGCCATTAAATCCACTGTTGCGTCTTTGTCATTCTCTCAACATAGCCCACCTTCCTCAGGGAGGTGGGCCATCGCTGTAATATCCTGCAATAATTACATTTAGTACTAGCGACTAAATGTTTTTATTGCAGGTATATCATCTTATGTTTACAATTTTACTTACTTCCTGCTACGTCATCGCACGCGCGTGTCCTCGGAAGTTACGTAACCATCTCGTGGTGACGTAATCACTGGGTTTTTCATTACGTAACCGTCTCTACTCTTCACTTTCGCTCAGCTGTCAATCCGTGGTACATCGCATTGTCACTCTCCGCTTTCCCACCCGCCCGCCCTGTTTGCCTCCATCTATCTCATTTCCATTGTACATCAATTTTATTGTCTATGACAGGTACCAGGCACAACAAATTGTACATAACTAATTATATCTCTCTCTAATATTGTACATATCTTGACAATGTGAATAAAACAAGTCGTGGAGTGGCGTGGTTCTTCTGGGCTACCTCCTATATCATCATAATTTATATTGATACATATACTAATTAGGGTTTCCGGTTACCTGCTTTCCAGCGGGAACCCAGACTGGGTTACCTTCTTACCAGTTGGAACCCAGTCTTTCCCGGGTTTTCACTCGGGAATCTAGTAACAATTATATTTGGCAACGCAAGTTGCCACATAGCTGGGCCTGGCGGCGTTCGCTCCCATTTAGACCCGCAGCGTTGGTCGGGTTGCGTCGTTTCCGTCATTTGGGCCGTAGCATTAAGTATATATTAACAATTAAATTTGGCCTGGCGGCGTTCGCTCCCATTTAGAACCGCAGCTGTGGTCGGGTTGCGTCGTTTCCGTCATTTGGGCCGTAGCATTAAGTATATATTAACAATTAAATTTGGCCTGGCGGCGTTCGCTCCCATTTAGACCCGCAGCTGTGGTCGGGTTGTGACGTTTCCGCCATTTGGGCCTTACCATTAATTATATATTAACAAATATGTTTGGCGACTCAAGTCGCCACATAAATACTATTTATTCCATTTCTAAATTGGGGTAGCCCTTTAGAACCTCCACACCCTCGGCCATTAAATCCACTGTTGCGTCTTTGTCATTCTCTCAACATAGCCCACCTTCCTCAGGGAGGTGGGCCATCGCTGTAATATCCTGCAATAATCACAACTTATTGTGGTAGGCACAGTATAACTCATGAGTCTGGATTGAGGGAGGGCCGTATTCCTCCTTGTGGGTCACCTGCTTGGCAATATGGGACGGGAAAACTGCAGGTGGTGAGGGCAGTTAAGTTGATGGTACAGACAGATAACAGAGATCATTTTACAAATGTGAAACCTCATTCCACACAGGAAGAGGCGAAAGCTGAAACTTGGTGAGATTTACAGAACAAAGGTAGTTATTTCTAGTTTCTTACTGACTCTCGAGGATACATTTAATAAAAATTTGTCTGTGCGACACGGCCACCAGTCACTTAATTTGGGTCACAATCTTTCTGTCTTCTTTCATTTGTCATCTGAAATACCATCCCCTCGTGCACTTGTGCTTCCTGCTCAAGTTACCAAACACATCCTGTTTACGTACACCTGCAAGATATATATTACGCCGAGGAGAATTTACAATTATACGTTGCTACGTCTAACTGCTGGCCTGGTACGCAATGGTGAGATTTACAGAACAAAGGCAGTTATTTCTAGTTTCTTACTGACTCTCGAGGATACATTTAATAAAAATTTGTCTGTGCGACACGGCCACCAGTCTCTTAATTTGGGTCACAATCTTTCTGTCTTCTTTCATTTGTCATATGAAATACCATCCCCTCGTGCACTTGTGCTTCCTGCTCAAGTTACCAAACACATCCTGTTTACGTACACCTGCAAGATATATATTACGCCGAGGAGAATTTACAATTATACGTTGCTACGTCTAACTGCTGGCCTGGTACGCAATGTCATATTTCTTATCGCCAGGACTCACAGGTGTGATACCAGTCTCCCCCAAGGAGACGTCTGATTAAACTCTTTGCTTCGTCAATGCTTCGTCTATCCCAAACCGGTAACTGGTACCACTAGCAACGATACAATGGCGTACAAAGACTTACAATGAGTCAAGCATCCGTCACTCGATTTCCATTTTGATTGATTGTTTGATTGATAGATTGATAGATTGATACAGAGTGAGTGAGTGAGTGAGTGAGTGAGTGAGTGAGTGAGTGAGTGAGTGAGTGGGTGAGTGAGTGAGTGAGTGAGTGCCTGTTTCACTGGTATGTCCGGATCTGGGTACGGGTCACCGGCTTAGCGCCACCGATCTAGATATATCTATGCAGGAATAGGTCATCCATGCGGATAGCGTAATCTCGATTTATCTATTCAGGAACCTTTCATGAACAACATTTATTGAAAATGCTATCGAAGAATCAAACAACTTTAAGATTTGGCTTCTGTGGTGGAATCATTCCAATATTTCACATAACCGTTAACGTACTTCTTGAATGTCATCATCATCATCATCATCATCATCATCATCATCATCATCATCACCGGTATCGTTATCACAGGTATATACGGTACTCCACACACAGATTAACGAAGGGCATCTATTTGATCAGGGGTTAGTTAAATATCTATAACAGCCGTGTGTCAGTACATCTAGTTTCTGTCAGTGCAGAAAAATACCAAGTCGGTCAGCTGTAAACACGGTTCTCAGCATCGGACATCAGCTGTCCTTGACATGCACATTTCAGCGCATTGGAATGGATTTAACAACAAGTAAGGTCATCTTGAGCGGGACGGTTTTCGTAGGCAATAGATGGATTAGCATATGAACTATGATTCTCTTTAGGTAGAAAAAGATCTACGATGTTCGACCTGGTAGAAGTGTGTAATCAAACCGCACAGCATTGGTCTTTGATTGACTGTGGCGTCAAAACAAACTCATTCATGTACTTGATCTGAATGTTCATCTTAATTGTTATGGATAGTAATGGAGCCGTGATCCAGAGAACAGGGTGTCATTAGATAAAAATGAAGTAATAATAGGATTACCAGAAAAACGGGGTATAACACCCAAGCTAATAACCTCCCCTCAGGAACACCAGAGTAAGTCAGTACAAGATTGAAAACTGCCCCATAAGTATGTATGACAGGCTAGTCGGGTATTGCCACTTGTATATGTGAAAACAAAGTAATTAAAATTAATAGCAAAACTGATAAAAGTCACCAATAAACGTGTATAAGTGTTATATCGTCACTGCAAAAATAATGAGTGTTGTCTTTAGTATTAACATTCAAATACGTGATATCTGTATTAGCGATATTGTCTACATTCCACCGGTGAGTAAGCGTTAGCCTTACTATCTCGTAGTATAAATGTTGCAAGAAATTGAATTTCTGAAGACATCACGATACAGTTTTTTACGATGCATCACGTCTGCACCAGCGCTTGATAACAGCCTTGTGTTTGGGTGTTTCAGTAGTTTAAATTGCTGTTCTTGATGTTGTTGAATAAACTTTGATACTATGAACAATATAAGGTTATATGAGAGTATCACTTTAGAATGGTTACATGCGTTAATGTATATCTGATATAAATATATATATATATATATATATAATAGGATGACATAAATAGAACAATGACTAGTACGTCCAGATTAGTGTATAGGCAACATTTAAAAGTAGATGAAAGAACACAATCATCCGGAATACAATGTATAATTCTAGTGCGCTTCCATCTGACTATATAGCATACAATAAGCTTTCGGGTCCCGTTTGGGTCGGTTTGGGTGGCAGCTTAGATATCCATAGAGTAGGTTCATCTCGGAATCTCCAATATAACTGGGGCTCCTCTTCAATTTAAATGGAGTTACTTGTTTCTTTCAAAACTATACAGTTTTAGAGACTAAGCATTAGTTTGAATAGATATCACCAGTTTGGAATTTGAAACTAATCTGTTTACAGTAACAAAACACTGTTTAAGTGTCATGTACAAATGAGAAAGTGGAATCCCGTCAATTAGGCGGACGAACCTTAAAACTATTAATAAACATTAAAATAAGCAATATCTGGAAAATGTATATGCATATACTCTCTGGCAATAAACACCAAGATCACCTTCTACAAAAATAAGTTTTAAAAGCCGGTTGATATTCTTTTGCGTATTTGACGAGTATATAACTTTCGAAAGTATAAATCCTTTTCCTATACTCAGACGTTCCTGAGCCTTGCGCTTTCCTAATTATTTTGACTAAAATTATTACCGTTATCATTGTATTTGTTGATGGGAAATACGCGCCGATCAAGTACGTGTCATAAATTAAAGCGACATTGTACGATTCCGAACTCATCACGAGACTGTGTTTATGAATCACTGTCAAATAGTGGCGACATATAGTGGAAACAATATGCGAAATCGCGCATGCACAGAACGGAAAATTTGGACAAGGCATTAAGCAATCCGCATGCGCAGAACGATTGATTTCAGTACTTCCGCTAAGTGCTTCGAGTACAGCGTCAAACTCGGGCCTGTAATCTAACACGCGAGAACTGACCAATGAAATCTGAGAAGTAGGAATACCGGGAGACGCTGTTGCTTGATTGACAATGCCAATCAAGAAAGGGAGGAGCTTGATGATATCGTTCTCTCCCAGTAAATTCCGATGTCAAATAATGACGTTATTTGGACGGAAAAACGATGGTTTGAAAGCATCCAAATAACATCGTTTTTCCGTCCAATGACCATATACGAAAAAAAACGACGTTTTCATGTTTGCAGTGTAAGTTTAAATCATATTTCAACATGTCTGCCATTTTACAGGAACTTTATGTTTATTCCTTACATATTCAGTATGTCCCTTAATCAATTGTCAAGAACTGAATTAATGCCATTCAGCATCATTTCAGCCAAAGCAACAACTACATCTGGACATCTATGTTCACTCACCTGTTGAGCAGTTCCTCCTTCTCCCTGTCATGTTCCTGGTTGAGCAGGTTCTTCTTGGACTCATACTTCTGGAGCAGATCCTGCTTCTCCAGGATGAAGACGTTCTGCAGCTCCTTCTGCTGCTCCGCTAGCCGGTCCTGCTGGCTCCGCTCAAACTCCACCCTCAACTTCTCCTGCAAAGCGTGGTGGGTTTAAGGACATGATCTATAGTTCCTCCTGGTATTGCCACACAAGACTTACTCTCAAGCATTTCCTTGGAATAACTCTCTCTGTGAACACTTTTCCTCTCTTTACATCAACAGAAAAATTATTCCTAACGAGATAATTTAAGATTGATTTCTTGACTATGATTGACTGAAAACTGACCTTTTCTTTCTCAAAATTGGCCATGATTCTTTCCTTCTCTGCCTGGTGGCTGTCCTCCAGCTGGGCCACCTCCAACCTGAAGGAATGTTCGATGTGCTGGTGGTCCTTCTCCAGCAGGTCCAGCTTCTGGGAGTTGGACAGGCTGTGCTCACTGCCACCTGAAACACACACAGCAGGCTAACATCTCAAGTGAGTTGGGTTTAAAGCCACCTTCAACATTGTTTCAGTTTTTATCACAGCATGTCAGCTAAATATGGATGGAAAGATCCAGTTGCTGCAGATTTTACATGTTTACCACTTGTAACCCATGACACTGAGATTCTGGCACATCTACGGGACAATTCTGCGAGACTCATTTGCCTCACATAATATTCCTCATATCACTCATATCAACTTAACAGCATTCTCCTTGGGGTTGAAGCTCTCACCTACAAGCCAAAACATTTGCCAGACAATCTCTAGCATTTGAGACTTGGCAATTTACACAACTCCAATTTATTGGCAAGAAAGTAATCACCTAAAACTGATCAACTTGAAAAAAAACAGGGGTGTCCACAGGAGCAGTCAATTTCATCATCACAACCTGCACATGCACAACATGAGTACGCTCTCCCTGTTACAAACCAAATAAGTTTTCACAAATTCTATGCAATGCCTACTTGTCTCAAATACGTATTGTGTGTAGATTCAACTTATCCTGGAATACCATCAGGTTTAAATACAAACTGGTTGTTTCACTGTCCATTGTTGACAGGTTTCATGTCTCAATATTTATTATTAATGTATAACTTGTTCTGGTCACTATATGGCATTCACACACTCAACTGCTTTGCTACGTCCACACTCAGTAAGTCTCACAAGCCCATTCAGAGAGCTTCGACTTAGCAGATCTTACTGAAGGCTTCTCAGTTGTATGTGTCAACATATCACCAAACTTACTATCATCTTCTAATGATGACCTTCCAGGCCGTTTTCTTCGAGCTAGTTTTGATGTCTTTATTATTGTCTTTGAATTGTCCAGATCATCCACCTCTGCTTCTGAAACAGAGAAAGCAAATAAAGGTTTAATGAAACATTCAGCACCATTTCAAGTATGCAGCCTGCAATGCACTAGCAGTGATGCACCACAGTTCAATATAAAGAGGTCCTTGGGCTTGATGATGTCAACAAATATAACTAAATATTGAAACAGTTTGTTTTCGTTGTTTTTTTAACGCCACACTTAGCCATATTCCAGCTATTGAAGGTAAGGTGGTCTGTGAATAATCGAGTCTGGACTAGACAATCAAGTGATTGCCATCATGAGCATCAATCCACGCAAATGGGATACAATGACATGCATCAACCAGGTCAGCGTGTCTGACCACTTGATTCCGTAAGTCGCCTCTTATGACAAGCAGTGTTGCCTTTATTTTCACAGGTTTAAATACTGAATCAGCACTGGACAACTGATACACTTCTGAGAATGGACAGAACAAGTAGTATTGCACGTCATTCATTCCCCACGGTTAAGTTCTTACAGGATGATTTCTGTAACATTTTCACTGCTTGCTGTAGCGGAACCAGACAGCCAGTGGTTATCTGTTGTATAGACTCACCTGTCACATTTTAACCATTTTCCAAAACAAAATTTATAATATTTGATATAAATGGGTCCCGAAATCTTTTTTGTCAACATTAACTTACAGTCAGATTAACATTTTGACTGAGTTTCATCTCTCCCACTTGCTCAAGCAAAGAGTTGACCTGAAGCAAAAGGGTAGCATTTGTTTCCTCCAAAAGAAATAATCCCCCAAAGTTGAGTGTGTAACAACACACAAGAAAAGTAAGAAATGTTTTAAATGATTTTTTTTTCCACTCCTGCCATGAGGTATTTTTGTGATAAAAATCTGCAAAACAATTCCATGTAATTAAATTAGTCTGGCCCAAAAGAGTTGAATTCTGCTCTGGTAGTGTGGGATGCGAGTCCTACCTGTGGATGACATGGATGCCAGAGAGGACTTCCTCCTGGTGTAGTCTGAGAGCTGGCTGCCCTCTCGGATGGGTATCTTGGTCTGGGAGCTGGAGCTGCCCCGCAGTTTGCGTTTACATGATGCCAGCTGCTGCTTGAGATTCTCCAGTTCAGCAGTGAGTTCATCGACTTTGTCCTTCAGATCCTGAAATACAGTGTTGTATAAATTAACATTTTCCGCAAAAAATCTTTAGTGTCCCAGTGACATGATGGCTTGTAGACTGAGACAGCCATTGAGACAAGCAGAGAGTACCGGGACCTATTCTGTCCAAAAAGAACTGGAAAACAAAGCCAGGGCGTCGTTAACTCATATACAGTCAAACTCTGTTGTCTCAAATAGTTCAATTCATCTGGGCTTCAGCTCATATCCAACTTGACTTACCACCATCTGACTTTGCCCTGAGACAACCGAAAGCAATTGTGCCACATTGTGCACATTCTGGATTAAAATAATAATAAATATAGTCAGAGTTGCCGGTACCAGACTGTGAGTTTGACACAAGCTGGACTTTTATACATCTTGTTTGAGACAACAGGTCTGACTATATATAAACATTACCATCCATGATCTCAGTGGTAGCTCTGTAATATTAACATTACTGGGGACACAGTGAGTAGGTTTAACTATGTGCCAAACAGAAACAAATGACATCCACGCTCCTACCATGCTAATGTAACACCATGGTCCTCCCATGCCTCAGGTTACCATAGTAGACAGTACCTTGTTGACTTGCTCCAGCCAGTTGATCTTGCCGAGATGGTGCTGCCTCTCCTCACTCACATCCGGCGTCTGCTCGTACTCGGTCAGCTGCAACATTTTCTCCATCACATAGTCACAAGTACAACTAAGGTTTCGAAGTGACACTTCACAAAGAGAACATTTTGTGTTATATGTTTGTTTGATGTTTTACACGGCTCTCAGAAACATTACCGCCATTTCGCATCTGAATAAGACAATCCAGGGATTTATATTGTGAACAAAGGATTGTCTTCAGGGAAAAATACAATGCAAATTGTTGGAGTTGGAGTTGGTCACCTCTTACAACCAGCATAGGTTCCTCGGGACCTATTCTAACATGGGATCCCCACAGGGTTATTGTGGTTTCTATTAACAATAAAGTGAGCGTTTTCTTTGCCTAAGATCAACTGAAATGTTTCTGATATCACTAAAGACATTTCCCTACCTTCCTGCGGAGATCGTCAAGATTGCCCAGCTCCTTCTGCAAGCGTGTGTTGTGTCGGTGAACGTCCTCGATGTTATCACATGACCTGGCACACTCCACCTGCAGACGGTCCACCTCCTGGGAGAGAGATGAATGGAGTATAACGCCACTTTTAAAATGCTTCTATCATTTCATGTCCCCTAACATGGAAGGAATGCCTGAAGTGGCACAGGTTTACCTCCTTTGAGAAACCCACAAACATTGGTAAACAAGGTGTGCTTCTATTGGTTAATTGTAGAAATCTCACTCAGTTTTGGATGATGAACCAAATTACACAACAAGAACCAAGAGTTGAGTTAGGATGATCCAAACCCATGATCAGATGTTCCTTAGGCAAATGAACAATGTTTCAGATGAGCTGAACCAGGAGCAGACAACCTGGTCCATACTGTCATCATCCATCATGTCATCATTCATCCATGCCATCATCCATCCATGTCATCATCCATCCATGTCATCATCCATCCATCCATGTCATCATTCATCCATGTCATCATCCATCCATGACATCATCCATCAATGACATCATCCATCAATGACATCATCCATACTGTCTTCATCCATCCATACTGTCACCATCCATCCATGACATCATCCAACCATGACATCATTCATCCATGACATCATTCATCCATGTCATCATCCATACTGTCTTCATCCATCCATGAAATCATCCATACTGTCTTTATCCATCCATGACATCATCCATACTGTCTTCATCCATCCATGTCATTATTCATCCATGTCATCATCAATATTGTCTTCATCCATCCATGACATCATCCATCCATGACATCATCCATACTGTCTTCATCCATCCATGTCATTATTCATCCATGACATCATCCATACTGTCTTCATCCATCCATGACATCATCCATCCATGACATCATCCATCCATGACATCATCCATACTGTCTTCATCCATCCATGTCATCATCCATACTGTCTTCATCCATCCATGTCATTATTCATCCATGTCATCATTCATCCATGTCATCATCCATACTGTCTTCATCCATCCATGTCATTATTCATCCATGTCATCATTCATCCATGTCATCATCCATACTGTCTTCATCAATCCATGTCATTATTCAGCCATGACATCATCCATACTGTCTTCATCCATCCATGACATCATCCATACTGTCATCATCATCCACCCATGTCATCATCCATCCATGTCATCATCCATCCATGACAACATCCATACTGTCGTCATCATCCATCCATGTCATCATCCATCCATGTCATCATCCATCCATGACATCATCCATACTGTCGTCATCCATCCATGACATCATCCATACTGTCAACATCCATCCATGTCATCATTCATCCATGGCATCATCCATCCATGTCATCATCCATCCATGGCATCATCCATACTGTCTTCATCCATCCATGACATCATCCAAACTATCGTCATCATCCATCCATGTCATTCATCCATCCATGACATCATCCATACTGTCTTCATCCATCCATGACATCATCCATACTGTCACCATCCATCCATGTCATCATTCATTCATGACATCATCCATCCATGTCATCATTCATCCATGTCATCATCCATCCATGTCATTCATCCATGACATCATCCATACTGTCTTCATCCATCCATGAAATCATCCATACTGTCTTTATCCATCCATGACATCATCCATACTGTCTTCATCCATCCATGTCATTATTCATCCATGTCATCATCAATATTGTCTTCATCCATCCATGACATCATCCATCCATGACATCATCCATACTGTCTTCATCCATCCATGTCATTATTCATCCATGACATCATCCATACTGTCTTCATCCATCCATGACATCATCCATCCATGACATCATCCATCCATGACATCATCCATACTGTCTTCATCCATCCATGTCATCATCCATACTGTCTTCATCCATCCATGTCATTATTCATCCATGTCATCATTCATCCATGTCATCATCCATACTGTCTTCATCCATCCATGTCATTATTCATCCATGTCATCATTCATCCATGTCATCATCCATACTGTCTTCATCAATCCATGTCATTATTCAGCCATGACATCATCCATACTGTCTTCATCCATCCATGACATCATCCATACTGTCATCATCATCCACCCATGTCATCATCCATCCATGTCATCATCCATCCATGTCATCATCCATCCATGACAACATCCATACTGTCGTCATCATCCATCCATGTCATCATCCATCCATGTCATCATCCATCCATGACATCATCCATACTGTCGTCATCCATCCATGACATCATCCATACTGTCAACATCCATCCATGTCATCATTCATCCATGGCATCATCCATCCATGTCATCATCCATCCATGGCATCATCCATACTGTCTTCATCCATCCATGACATCATCCAAACTATCGTCATCATCCATCCATGTCATTCATCCATCCATGACATCATCCATACTGTCTTCATCCATCCATGACATCATCCATACTGTCACCATCCATCCATGTCATCATTCATTCATGACATCATCCATCCATGTCATCATTCATCCATGTCATCATCCATCCATGTCATTCATCCATGACATCATCCATACTGTCTTCATCCATCCATGACATCATCCATACTGTCACCATCCATCCATGTCATCATTCATCCATGTCATCATCCATCCATGTCATTAGGACATGATCAGAATAATCACATTGCAGTTATCAGGGCAAAATAAGACAGAAAAATATTCTGAAAAGTGTGATTAGGCACAACACAACACATCCATCCATGACATCATCCATCCATGTCATCATTCATCCATGTCATCATCCATCCATGACATCATCCATACTGTCTTCATCCATCCATGTCATCATCCATACTGTCTTCATCCATCCATGTCATTATTCATCCATGTCATCATTCATCCATGTCATCATCCATACTGTCTTCATCAATCCATGTCATTATTCAGCCATGACATCATCCATACTGTCTTCATCCATCCATGTCATTATTCATCCATGACATCATTCATCCATGTCATCATCCATCCATGACATCATCCATACTGTCTTCATCCATCCATGTCATCATCCATACTGTCTTCATCCATCCATGTCATTATTCATCCATGACATCATTCATCCATGTCATCATCCATACTGTCTTCATCCATCCATGGCACAACACAACTTACACAATAAGAGCCTGTGAAAAAACATGGCCAAGTCTTTCAGAACAAGTTTTCCAGGACTACAAGGACTACATGCCTTTGACCACACTGACGCCTCACCACCAACATACCTCCTGTAGTCCCAGTCCCATACTGACCCCCACTAACATATCTCCTGTGCCATGGCCATACTGACCCCCCACCAACATACCTCCTGTGCCATGTCCATACTGACCCCCCACCAACATACCTCCTGTGCCATGTCCATACTGACCCCCCACCAACATACCTCCTGTGCCATGGCCATACTGACCCCCCACCAACATACCTCCTGTGCCATGTCCATACTGACCCCCACCAACATACCTCCTGTGCCATGGTCAGGTCCTCCTGTAGTCCCAGTCCCAAACTGACCCCCACCAACATACCTCCTGTGCCATGGTCAGGTCCTCCTGTAGTCCCAGTCCCATACTGACCCCCCCACCAACATACCTCCTGTGCCATGGCCATACTGACCCCCCACCAACATACCTCCTGTGCCATGGCCAGGTTCTCCTTTAGTCCTAGACCCATACTGACTCCCACCAACATACCTCCTGTGCCATGGCCAGGTTCTCCTTTAACTTGGACTCCTGCTGTCTCAGTCCCTCCATCTCAGACTCCAGGTTCTGCCGCAGCTTAGCAGAGTGCGCCGAGTGGGTCTCACGCTCAGACTCCAGCGCCCCCTGGAGGCTTCGGATCTGGTCCTGGTACTTCTTCTCTATTGTTCTGGACAGGAGGAAGAATTGAGATGTGGGAAGCTAAGCAGCAGGATTCAGATCATGAAAGAGCAAGTTAATGTTTTTCTTCAACCTATACAGTCTAGGATCAGGCAAAATTGCAGTCCAAGAAAATTTGGATTCAATGGTAAGATTTCAACCACAAGCAAGTAGCCTTAGGTTTGCTCATCTTGTGCAGTATTCTATTTAATTTAAGTGTTATATTTTCTGCTATAGTATCTTACATGGTAACTCCCCTAATACACAATGTTTCAACATTATTGAATTATGATCGTATTCATGTTTAGTTTATTCTTAAACACAACAATTTGAAATGTACTGCCATCAAGTTGTTGAACAAGTTGTTGAACAACCTCCCAAAGCTTCAGCTCACTGACAACAATGGAGAACAGACTCTGCCGTAAGTATACATGGACATTCAGTCCACGTGAGCCAGAACCTCTACACTAGATCTACAAACAAGACAAGCATTATCCAAAGCATACTTGGAAAACTAAGTACCATATTTTCTTGAGTATAGTGCGCACCCATGTATAATGCGCATCCCCCTCTAGCGGAATCAGTATTTTGGGAAAAAAACCATTTCAAATATTATGCCCTGAAAAGTTCATCGTACCCCTTCAGCGAATTCCTGTAAACGAACTGGTGATGAGAAACTTGGTCAGTACAAATTTGAAATTTGAGATGTATGGATTTGTTGACATTGTATTTCCGGTTTTACGTGCTCACGGTAATGTCTTTCCGCTCGTTGGGGGGGGGGACATCAAAACTCATTATTGCATGTATAATGCATATATTTGGAAAAAAGTGTGCACTATACTCAAGAAAATACATTAATCAATAAACAGAAATGAATCTTGACCCACAATCCGAGTAAGTGGAATAAGCACACTGATGTTTCATGTCTCCATGGTTACAACTAAGATGAATGCTGTATCTTTTAGACCCTTAAGTACAGGATCAAAGACAAACATGTTTGTCAGCATTAACTAAAAAACCCGACCAGGCAATCTAATATCTCTACTGGTAGGTACTGCGGAGATTCAGCGGAACAATATAACACCCACCACCATTCTAAAAATAAATAAAGTTGAATGAAATATTTGAAAGCTCAGTATCAAGACAGCCTGTAATTAATGGAGGCATCAGAAAGTCGCACACTGTGACCACCCAATCCTCATATTTGCTCTCATGCCCAGCATGAGTAAATCAAGTGCTACTGACCCGGAATCACCACAGGGTTATAAACAAAAAACAGTGAAGTTGATAAATGTCTTCCATACTGCACCCAAACCAACCAACAACCTAATATCTAAAATCCCTTTCCACTGAGAAATGAACATAAAATCAAACTCCCACTTGAAACTGTGACTACATCAGCCACGAGTACTCACATGTAGGTGTCTTTAATTGCACAGATTATGTCACTGTAGGGAAACACAGGTGTTCAATTCAATCACACTATTTCACTTTGTCAGTGGGTGGGGTGTAACGCTGCTTGCAGCACCCCTTCATGCTGTTTCATGACGACATGGAAGCTAAATGTGGGAGGTGAGGTGAGGTGAAATTCGGTTTAACGTCGCGTCCAAGATTATTGCACTTATATAGCAAAGTGCATGTACGTGTATGTGTTTGTGTGGCTGCTTGTACTAGACCGGACTAATGCCGATTTATAGTGCTAGTACACTGAGATACCATGCTGCAGTTTAACATGAATACCCAACTTAGACACTGTATACCGACTCCGAGCCGACCAGACCTTGTTTTAGCCCCTTAATGCCGAGCGCCAGACAAGGTAACAACAAGTACCATCTTTTAACATCTTTTGGTATGACGCGGTCGGGGATTCCCCTCTCCAGGCGGACGCTCTACCACTAGACCACGGAGACGGTCAAAATGTGGGAGGAAAGTTAGGTCTGGTAGGAGTGAGGGCGATTTTTGCTAGATGCTACATATACACTCACTGTTGAAAGTGTTGAAATGAACAGTCTAATTCTCGTCTAATGAACATATCCTATAACATTCTTTACAATTTCTGAAAGTTTTACTAATTTCTTAAATTAAGTATATCCTGTGTCTCAAAAAGGGCTCTTATCCTACCTTGTCCTTTCAGAGGAAAAAACTCCCAATTATTAACATTAAAATGCATTTTTCCCAATTTGCCTGCTATGGGCACATTGATTGGAGTGAGTGAGTGAGTATGGTTTTACGCCGCAATTAGCAATACTCAAGCAATATCTTGACGGGAGACACCAGAAATGGGCTTCAAACATTGTATGTGGGGAATCGAACCCAGGTCTTCGGCGTGACAAGTGAATACTTTAACCACGAGGCCACCCCACCACGCCACTCAGATTTGGAGTCCTTGATGAATCTCAGACTACTCTGTACACTGATAATGATTGAGGGTGAGTGACAGTACAATAGGAGGATGAAAAGGAACTGGTGCCAAAGAACTGGGAAGAGTTCTCAATCTTACTTAAAAAATGGCCAAGTGTCACTGATGCATGACACAGGCAACAACAGCCCCTTGAATCGTTGTACAGTTATCAAGATCAAAGGGCGATCCCTCAGTGGATATCAAAATTAGTGTTTCGATTCATTTTATTGCAGTAAAATTTGTAATAAAGTTTGTTTCAGTACTACACTGTGAAGTTGAGTGTAATATTTTTTAACATTAGCCAGTCAAATGAATAGCAGAGCTATGAAGTACACCTTAGTTGCAGTTACACCTGGTCTTTGCATTTTAAGACAGCTGTCACATGCAGATACATGTGCATATACATGTACATATATGTACATACTCATTTACACATAAATGACTGCCTGCATAAACACGAGGTATCAAAGTTATGCAAAGGCAGTTGTATGGAAACCCTAGGTTCTGAAGCTTACATGGAAATTACTTAGGAAATAGCAATAAGTACACTGTCCAATCGGAGCATAAATAAATACCTGTGATTGTTGATTTCTGAACATATTGTATTTGTTTGTTGTTTAACGCCTCACTCAGCAATATTCCAGCTATATGACGGCAGTCAGTAAATAATCGAGTCTAGACCAGACAATCCAGTGATTGATATCATGAGCATCGATCCATGCAATAGGGATACGATGACATGCATCAACCAAGCCAGCGAGCCTGACCACCTGATCCCATTAGATGCCCCTTATGACAAGCATAGTCGCCTTTTACAAGCAAGCATGGGTTGCTGAAGACCTACACTAATCCGGATCTTCACGGGTCTATTAATTGATTAATATTGTGAATCTACATCGTCAAGGTAAACACGCTCACAACCAAGTCACTGATCCTGACCACCCGAATCATTTGGTTGCCTCTTACTACCAGCATAGGATTCGGGGGGCCTACTCTTACCCAGAATTGTGGTCCCGTGCACAGCGCACAGCGCACAGGTCACAAACCAGGTGAAGTTACACAACGTCAGTCATGGAGAGTCCTTGGATGGGTGACCGCGTTTAGGAAGCTGAGTTTCTAGGGCTTCGGTCCTGCCCCACACTGGAGCACATGTAACACATGTGGCATCTCCTTGGACAAGTGACTTTGTTTGAAATGTGCCTCTGTTCACCCAGTAGGATGAGATGGCAATGTGGTCAGGCAGCTTGGGTTGTATACTCCCAAGGGAGCTGATAATGATTCTTGAGTGCATACTGATCCAGTGACCGGGGTAATAATAGAGCTTTGAGCATGCCCCTGAGGGGTGTGGAAATACAGGCAACCTAAATAGGCAATTATTTTTATCATAATGCCCATTGGGGAGGAGTTTATTTGAGCTGAACTAGACAGAAACTAGAATCGATTTCAAACTAGTGACTTTGTTCTATAACAACCAGCATATGTCCCACTTGGATGATATCAACTGAAGAAAGTGAATTCTGTTAGTGTAAACTCACAACAACTTGGACTCATTAGACTTCTCCATGTGTGCATGCCTCTCGTCAACCTCCTTGGCCAGCAGCACAGCTCGGGCGTTGGACTCCTGCAGGTCCAACTTCAACTTGTCCCGTTCGCTCGTCAATGCATCGACACACGATCTGGCAACAACACATAGCCAGAAATATTAAGTAAGAGAAACAAAACTATTGGCGTGTAGTGTTCAATAGAACAGGGTCGCCACAAAGCTCATTAGCAAATTACCATGTGTGTGTGTGTGTGTGTGTGTGTGTGTGTGCGTGTGCGCGTGCGCGTGTGCGTGTGCGTGTGTACTTGTCCGGACTGATCCTGATTTCTGATTTATAGTGCTAGTCCACTGAGATACCATGCCGCAGTTTAACATGAATACACTACTCAGACACAGAATACTGAGTCCGAGCTCTTTTGGTATGACACGGCCGGGGACTAAACCCCAGACCTTCCGCTCTCTGGTCGGACAGTCTACCACTACACCATGGAGGCAGTCAATTCGAGAGTTGAAACACATGAGCTGACAGATGAGAGAGCATATGTTATAGTTCAATGGCATCATGCCAGCAAAACCACTGTTGGAAAGGACAAGTATTGTCACCAGTACAAATGGACAGGATCAGGCTGTAAGTAAACTAACACACTGCCTGACAAGCAGATGTAGAAGATCAAAAAGAAAACATCTAATATAACAACTTATAGAAAATCTAAAAAATCGCTTCTAAAACTCATATAAACAATTAAATGGAATAAATTCAGAAGAGCCTTCTTTGAAAATATGCTATTGTCATGTTTTGACCAAGGAAGCAAGTTGATGAGGCTGACCTGAGATGTCGCAGTTCCTGTTGGCATGTGACCAGTGCAGCGTGGGAGACAGCGTCTAGATTCTCATTGGCTAAAGCCTGCTCCAACGCATAGGACAGCTCAGAGAGATTCAGTTTGGTGTCATGGTCAAAGTCAAGAGCCTTGAAACAAAACAGCAGTCACAGAATCATTATTATCAAGTAATACTATCTCCTGTCTCAGGTATTGTGTGTTGAACGTTATGAGGGTGACATTCAACACTTAAGAGTGCAAGAATATTGGTAGCAAGTGTGATATTAAATTAACAAATGCAATATATTGATGTTATTTTTCAGAAAATACAACTAGTTAAGTCTATGTATCATGCAGATTCAGATGTAACAGGTTTTGCTTGCTGATCAAAGGGAGACAACCCTTGCAGTTACTCAAACCTTATGTTAATTTCGAGATGAAGATAATGTCCAACATGGAAAAGGACATTGGACAGAAGCCTATAATGGATGAGAGATGAAAGTCACTTTTATTTGATCAGTACTCAAAAGTAGTTTTGTCTAGGGATAGGTGTGCAAGTTCTATTTAGAAAAAAAAACAAACGAAAGTCTAATTTCTGTTTATGTTCAAAAGATAATAACTTTTAATAATACTTAAACATAATCAGTTGACCTGACCTATTCTATTTGAATATGCCTTATTTGGCATGTTGTGCAATTGATTTCATGGAAGTTTACACATGTAGTGTTTGATGTTGCCAAACTTCATAACTAGCAAGTTATAACAGATAGAAGTGGTTGGTCAATGGATTTACTTAGTTTCAAGAACGCCATCAAACAAAACAGTAGCGTAATACCATGTGCGTACAGTAAGGGAGATAACTCTCAAGCCATCAATATGTAACTTAGTGCACATGTCAAACAGGAGACGTTAGATTTGTGAGAGAAGTACAAACCACTATTCAAAGGAACCACTAGTATCCCATACTATGATGGTATGTTAAGGCCATAATCTGTATATTAAGACTATATTCTAGGTGTTTACATAACAGAAAATCCTCCTATTGATGCCACATTGAGCAATATTCCAGCTACAGTAAACTACGGTTATAACGAACTCAAAGGGACTACTAATTCTAGTTCGTTATAACCGTAGTTCGTTATAAGCATATATACAGCAGAACTACAGCAAATAGTCGGGACCAAAAAAGTAAGTTCGTTATATCCGTCAGTTTGTTGTAAGCGTGTTCGTTATAACCGTAGTTTTCTGTATCTGTGTCAACCTGGAAATATTCAGGAATGGACTATTCAGTGAGCTATGATCCACTCCATCGGGAAACTTAGACATGCGATCAAGTCAGACCACAAGATCCATTAAGTCAGCTCCTATGACAAACATAGGTTACAGTGGACAACCACAGGGGAGACAATGAATGAGTTGGGCTTATGTCACTTGCAGAGTATTCCAGTATTATCACGTAGTGTCAGCTTGATGTGGGACTTTCATCCATGATAATGAGCACAGTAAGGTGCTAACAAAGCTAGTAACATATTGAGGTCAAACTCAGATTCAAACCAACAAATACAGGTTCCTGGTGTGCCCAAGGGAGGCAACACTGCATAGCAAATTGTGGCACCAGGGAACTTGACACATTTGATATTAGGGATGGGATTTCACATTTACTTGGTGATGCATTAATTTCATAAGTTATAACCCTTGTCTTTTCAGATGAACATCATTTTCTAAAATAAATAACTGCATTCACAAATATCAAATACATGTTTTTATATAAATATGAAAAAGAATAGATGATGTCCTATCATTTCATTTGCATTGATGCCTTCATCAGAATTATCTGCTGCAACCATGAACATACCGTGAGAATATCAGCTCCATTCATGATGTTGTGCTTCTCCCAGAGATCTATGACATCTTCTGGCTGGGCAAATCTACAACATCATATCAACGACATGAATAAATGCCATTGTTTGCAGCCAAGTGTTCTCAGCTACTGACAGATTCTTTGTACTCAACGACCCTGCAGTTCGTCATGTTTCTTTGTTTGTTGTTTAACACCGCACTCAGCAATATTCCAGCTATATGACAGCGGCCTGTAAATAATCGAGTCTGGACCAGATAATCCAGTGATTGACATCATGAGCATCGATCCACGCAATTGGGATCGATGACATGCATCAACCAAGTCAGCGAGCCTGACCACCCGTTCCATCATGTGGACACTTTGAAGACATTGTGGCCACCTGATCCTCCTGGCCATCCCTATACAGAAGTACAGGGTATCTATTCTGCTCCTGAATGGCATGCATTAAATTTAGGATTTTTTTTGTTTAACTCTCCATTCAGCAATATTCCACCTGCATGATAGTGCCCTGTATTTGGAACCAAACAATGCACTCATTAAATTGAAGTAAAAAAGACTATGCACGCCGTTAGGGTACGATGACAAGCAATCAACCAAGTCACCGAGTCTGACCACCTGATCCTTTTGGTCGCCTATTACAACCAGCATAGGTTGCTAGGGACCAATACTTCGTCGGAATCCCCACATGGTGTAAAGTTTTTAAGACTAACTATTCTCAAACCTTATGACCCATAAGATAAGGTAAATAATGAATGCGAGTAAGTTGAGCTAGTTAAATGTCACAGTCAGCAGTGTTCCAGTCGTATCAAGTAGGGTTGTATTGAGTTTGGCCAGGCAAACCACTGATTGAAAGCATGAGCAAATCCACCCAAGAAGCCAAGTCACAGTGCAGACGTCCCACCCCCATTTCAGTTGGTTCGTACAACAAGCAGGTGAGGTGAGGTGAGGTGAGGTGAGGTGACATAGGGTTATTGCATAATTAATGCCAAGTGCCAGGCAAGGTAACAACAGGTACTATCGTGTTTGTATGACATGGCCCCAGGATCAATCGCCGACCTTCCACTCTCCAGGTAGATGCTCTATCCACTAGACCACAGAGCTCTCGGGCAGCATGCAGAGGTGCCTTGCAACTCACTTTGACACTGATGACTACACAAGTACCACGTACCCTGAGTGCCATGGGTCCAGGGCTGTGAAGAGACCCGTCACCTCGCCACTTGTCAGGACCACAGGAGTGACACTCCGTTCCGCAGGAGTGGAACCAAGGCGCAGTTTCCGCTGAGCTGACAGAGATCGTATTGTTGGGGTGCTGACAGGCCTCTGGGATCGCTGGATACTCCGCGATGGCCGCGGTGAGGGAGTCAGAGACCTGGCCCTGGAGCTTTGGCTGAAACTCTTCAGTAGTTCTTCAAAGCTGACGCGGCCATCATTGTCATTATCCAGCTTCTTGAAGAGCTTCCAGACCTCCTGTGGAAATCATTTCACATACAGTAGAACACGGATATAACGAACACGGATAGAGCAAACAAACGGATACAACGAACTGATAAACCACCTGACTTATCTCCTATATATTATCATATAAATTTACGTACAAAACGAACTCCTACAGAAAACTAACGGATATAGCAAACTGATATCTGAATGCCGACAAGGCCCATCTACCACTAATTAGTGACGCAAAAAGCAAACTGAGAAATTTCACTCAGTGTCAAGTGTCACTGACAATTCGACCTTGTTTAACTTGCTTTATGTTAATCTTACATGTCCATGTAATTTGGACCAATCTTGTCTGTAAAACAAACATTGATCCTACAATTGGAACAAAATGTTTTAAAGTTGTATAATTGGGTACTTTTTCACTGAATCACCGGTAGATGCGTGAGGAAATGTGTATAAACGTGTATAAACGTGTATGTGTGTATTGTGTTTTGCTTTAGCCAAGATGGTGGACGTTTCCGAGCAAAAACGTTTATCACGAACAACATATATAACTAACTGGTTTCTCCAGTTCCTTGTAGTTCGTTATATCCATGTTCTACTGTATTATATTTTCTTCCAATAAATCAGTAAGTTAGGTCATTATATCAATTTTATTCATTCCCTAGATACTTGAGGAAATATAAACCCTACAGAAATGTTGTCACAGTTTATTTGAGATGTATTACCTAAAATATCTTAAAGGGGCATTTCCAGAAGAAACTACCACTCTCGGTGGGCGGAGCTAAAATGAGTGATCTGACAGATCAATATGACATCATGATAACACATACATTTCATTGGTGGGGCTTTAAATGAAAAATATAAACAAAAATATATTTTGTACAAAAAACAAGTCACAATGGAACAAAAAGTATTATACAATAAATATATTTCAAATGCATATTTTGGAATAAAATATTGTAATTTTATTTTTAAGATGACATTGTAAAACAAACAAAATACGCTGGTTCAGCCTAAAATGTGTAAATCACCCAGGACATTTTCCAGACTGGTGACGACAACTCACATCTTCATCCATCTCCAACTCAATGTAGTTGCACACAGTGCGGAGCTCGGACAGCGTGAGGTAGCCATCTTGCCCCACTCCAAGTGTTCGCCACACCTCCAGCAGCTTATCCTGCCCGGACTCAACGTCTGCGTCTGTCATCGTCAGGTTCATCTGACCTGCAATAGGCGCGACAGTTAAGCACCACATTGAAAAGTATTTCTGTGTATCAACTCATATGCATGTCAGTTAATGTTAAAGGAAAACATGAAGTGAAGTTGTTTAAAGCCGCACTCAGTAATATTCCAGTCTGGACTAGACAATCCAGTAATTGACATCATGAGCATCGGTCCAAACAATTGGAATACGATGACATGCATCAACCATGTCAGTGAGCCTGACCACCTGATCCCATTAGTCGCCTCTTACAACAAGCATATATAGTCGCCTTTTACGGCAAGCAAAGTTTTGGTTTTGTTTGGTTAGTTGTTTAACGCCGTACTCAGCAATATTCCAGCTATATGATGGCGGTCTGTAAATAATCGAGTCTGGACCAGACAATCCAGTGATTGATATCATGAGCATCGATCCAAACAATTGGAATACGATGACATGCATCAACCATGTCAGTGAGCCTGACCACCTGATCCCATTAGTCGCCTCTTACAACAAGCATATATAGTCGCCTTTTACGGCAAGCGTGGTCACAGAAGACCTATTCTACCCCGGATCTTCACAGGTCACAGGTTCATGAAACCCACAAGCATGGGTATGGTTTTGACAAACTAAGATCATAACCAGAGCAAATCTGGTATTCAAGTCCACAATCATAGGATTCTTGCACATCTAAGAGATGCAACTCTGCACCTCAGGCAACTGGAGCATGTGTGCCTCCACTTGCAGAATAGGAAGAACTTCCAAAGAAGCACTCAAGGCAGAATAAGTTCCCTGAGGGTGTGGATGATTTGTTTGCCTGGGCCAGGTTGGAGTATCTATCAACAGACTGTTGTGGTATAGCTGGAATTCCACTTAAGTATAACGCAGCATTCATTATTTCGCTCGATGACACATTTCATCCTCACAAAAAACAATTTCAAACCAAACATTTTGTCTCTAGGTGTTTCTTGTAGGGCTGGGACGAGTCCAAATTTACTAACCGGGTACCCACCCCACTGTCACCCGACCCTACCCAGGAACCCTCTGATGGTCTCAAGAGATAGGTACAAAATGTCCGATTGGGAAACATTTGACCCTACTCCTGTCAAAATGTATTTAGATACACATTAACTAATCTGGTCATGCATACACTGAAGTTGACAGAAGTTGTATCTTTATGAACACATATAAAGTCAGAAGGAATGCATGCATAGTCAGAAAGAAATGTGAACATTTGTCACTTATAGTGTAACCATAGAGTTCAAGATAATTTTTGCCATTAAACAATATATATCACGTGTCCAGGTAGTCCTGTGGGTACCCGGGGCCTATTCAGTACCCATCCGACCCGAGTACGAGAGTTACCCGTCCCAGCCCTAGTTTCTTGCATTGATGGAAAGACAAGAAGATCATGATTCCATGGAAACAGGGACAAAGTGTCACTAAACGTACATTTTAAGAGATGTGGATATGAGAATTATGACTTACTTAACCAGACAATCATATTCCGACTCCTGCCAAGTGATAACTTTATGTAAGGACATGCTTAATGTTTATTTGTTGCTGAACACCGCACTCAGCAGTGTTCCAGCTGTATGACGTCTGGCTGTAAATAATTAAGTCTGGAGCAGACAATCCAGAGATTGAACAACTATCCATGCTGTCGGGGTATGATTACACACAATTAACCAAATCGACAAGCCAGACCATCAGATCAATTTGGTCATCTTTTATGACCAGCAAAAGTAGGGGACCTGTTCTAACATGATATGCCAACAGGGAAACATGCACAACGACTTTTGAACACTTTAATGAAGGAGTTAGGGAACATGTCACTTCAAGATCACTGTGGCTCAGTTCAACTACAATAGTGAGTGAGTATGGAGTGAGTACGCCGCTTTTAGCAATATTCCAGCAATATCACGGCGGGGGACACCAGAAATGGGCTTCACACATTGTGCCCATGTCGGGAATCGAACTCAGGTCTTCGGCGTGACGAGTGAATCAACTACAATAGATTGTAACATGATATACAATGGGGAGGAACAGAAGGAAACAATTCCCACATTGTAATCATCATCATCAGGGTCTCTGGTATGTCAAGCAAACACTTCTACTCCCACAACACCACCCTAACTATACAGAGATGGCTCTGATGGTTGAATGTGACTGTCAAACCTGCCGAGAGTTACTTCTGTCCCTCGCCTGGAAAGACTTCCGCCGTATCCCCCCTCCAAAAGTTATACATATTTATGGGGCAGTGAGGTAGCCTAGTGGTTAAAGCGTTCACTCGTCACGCCAAAGGCCCGGGTTCGATTCCCCATATGGGTACAATGTGTGAAGCCCATTTCTGGTGTCCCCCGCCGTGATATGCTTGAATATTGCTTTAAGCGGCATAAAACCATACTCACTCACTATATATATTTACAATTAGGGTGTTTCTTCCAAGTATATATATTTTTAAGAGGGGGGGTGGGGGGTGGGGGGGAGTGGGTAAGGGCAGAAGTCTTACCCCTCACCTTTTGTAAATGACAAACAACAAATGACATCCTCTCAACTGGGTGAACATACAAACAGAAATCTTTCTGAACATGATCCACTACACTCATTGGATTCCAAAGTCAATGTTTCTGTAACAAGAGTGTACGATACATCATAACATGATCTGATGTACAAAATACTTACTGTTTAATGCTTATAAAGTTCCAATAAAATATGAAAACGTCCAGAAGTAAAATATCCTGCACATAGTACATGCCCTCCACAGCAGATATCAGTGGGGATGTGCTCCAGTCTGGTTGCTGTAACCCAGCCAGCTTACATAACACAGACAATGGAACCAATTATCTGGCCAGTATTGTTTGTAGGGATTACACAACTGAACTATCACTGAGGCAAGATAATCAGGAAACGTTAGGTCATTGCTGCTTAAATGAATTTAAAGTGACCTTGCAATTGATGCTGAGCAAGCATTTCTTCCTTTGCACACATTCATGCTACCACCCATTAACTTGCAGCAAAAGGAAGACATTTGACCATATTTCATCACTTTAAACTTCTGTTAATGAGAAAACACTTTCTGATATTAATCAGCCAGCAATAAACTATTTTTCAGGTACAGATTAAATACCTCGACTGGCTAACTACCAGCCACCTTAAATTGACACAAAAACTTGCAAACATTATGAGTGGTTAACACAATTAACTAACTATTAAAGAAATAACTAAAACCAAGCATGAAATACTCATATTCCCTGCCAAGATGACATGGCCAGTTGTGAGTGAGTGAGTGTGTTGGGTTTAACGCCGCTTTTAACAGTATTCCAGTTATATCATGGCGTGTCAGCTTAATGTGAAAGGAAAGCCCGAAATTAAGCCCACGAGCACGGGTATGGTGCTGACAAACTTTGAAACATAATTGGTGCGAAACCTGGATTCGAACCCACAATCATAGGTTTCTGGCGTGCCCAAGGGACGCAACTCTGCACAGCAAATCATGGCGCCTTAGACAACTGGGTCACACATGCCCCCTGGCCAGTTCTGTCCAAGGCAAGAAATACTGTACAGTTTTCAAGATCTGCTCTGGAAACGAGCACTACCACCATTTTCAGTCTAAGTCAAAGTCATTGCTATGGAAACTCGAAAAATAATTGTTTCTCTAAACCCAAACTATCAAAAGGCACCAGCACAGACCTATCTACCGGTATATGCCAAATTTGGTGAAGAAATATTGTACTTTTTTCAAGATCTGTTCCGTCAAGGAACACTACCACCATTTTCAGTCAAAGTCAAAACAAAAAAAGTCCATTTCCATGGAAACTCAAAAATAATCTTTTTTAAAATCTCAAACTATCAAAAGGCATCAGTTCATCACCAGACCTATCAATGTGCCAAGTTTGGTTGAGATATCTTGTAAGGTTTTTTAGTTCTGCATCCGAAACAGAAGGTGACGGATGGATGATCGGACGGAAGGAAGGACGGACAGCACCCATTCCTATATCCCCCTTCCACTTTGCGTCAAGGGATAATAAAAACAGTGTACTATCTACTTGCTGATATTCTTTCATCAGTGACAACGTACAAATCCTTCAATCTTTTATTCAATTAATTTGATCTCTTTTGATTGTGGTCACAAAAGGAAAGTAAAATTGCAAAATAAATTTTTAAAGACATTTCTCAAAAGAATTGTTGCTTGGGTGAAATTTAAGGGAAAACAAAAAAAACTTAAAATATTCTGCTTTATTTTCTTACCATACTTTTTTTTATTTTCTTACCAATCTCAGCATGAAGAAAGGGCATTGTTATTTCCTAAATAATGTGTGATCTGAGAGACGAAGACAAGGTTGTGGCATTTCTAACTGTAGGGTATACAGCAGATAACAGTCCCATTATTTGTACATTACTGCTTGCTAATTACCATCTCATCTGGACAATCTCACTATAGAAGGACCTACCTTCAGCCTCAAAGGTCTCGTCCTGAATCCCCCGAGGCCGAGGGGCATCTTTCCGTCTTCTTTTGATGTGGAACTCATTGTCCTGTACAACAAAGACAAAGGTAAGCTTACAACTATTGGATTAGTTCTTTGATATTGGACATATCTTACATGATACACTGAATTACATATTTAACAGAGGGCCAAATATTGTTAAATAGGGCTGGGACGAGTCCAAATTTACTACCCAGGTACCCCCCACCCCCTATTACTCAACCTATGCGGGTACCCGCTGTAGATTATAAGAGATAGGTACAAACTGTCAGATTGGGAAAAGTTTGAATGTAGCCCTGGACAAAATGTATTTAGATACATATGTAAAATGATCTGGTCATGCATACACTAAAATTTACTGCATGCAGTTTTATCTTTATTCAAACATATAAAAGTCAGAAGGAATGGAAGCATAGTCAGAAAGAAATGGGAACATTAGTGACTTATAGTGTAACCAAAGAGTTTTAGATAATTTTTGTCATTAAACAATATATCATGTGTCTAACCACAGGTCCGGGTAGTCCTGTGGGTACCTGAGTCTTACTCAGTACCCACCCGACCCAAGTACCCGAGTTTCCCGTCCCAGCCCTATTGTCAAAGGTGCTGCAATTCACAGTAGAGAGTTGTCTCCCTCAGTTGCCAGGATCTGCTGTTCAGGCATGACTTATAGGGCTGTTACGATTCACTCGCATGTTCGGTGAATTGAACCATATCCATTCATGAATTGAATTCATATTCGTGGCCACTAATATCAAATATTTATGAATATGCAATCATATGCATTTACATACCATGTACCTAAACACATCCATAAGAACATATTTTATGCATAGATTTCTTCAAAGACAACACTCTTACAATAATTCATTTGACAGTATTGTGATTACTGGTCATTGTCTCATTTGAGCAGATACTAGTACCTGGATAAGTGCAGTATATAAATGTATGATATATTAATAATTAAGAAACCATGTCAAATAATTTGTTGTTATTGTTTCCTCTATTTAGCACCCTGGCACTTTGAACAATCAGGTAATGGAGGTCCAGCAGTAGAGACCAAGCACTTACTATTTCAGACCAGAACTGCTAAAATGGGACCTTTTGTTTCTAAGCTTTTAAATATAACATATTCAGCGCTTATAATAGAGATGCCAATTAGAGTGAGTCAGTGAGTGAGTGAGTATGGTTTAACGCCACTTTTAGCAATATTCCAGCGATATCATGGCGGGGGACACCTTAAATGGGCTTCACACATTGTACCCATGTCAGGTAGCCTGTCTTACAGACCCTGATACAAATATATATCAAATACAGCCCATGCAAGTCTATAATTTTTTGCAAGTCTAGATCACTGCAGTATCAGAAAATGAAGAGAGTCACTGGGCTCCTTTTTATTATATTTTTATTAAGATAACTGAACAACTGTTTTTTTATGTACGATATGTTCATTTCAGAGACTAGATGTTAGTCTACCATGTCAGGAATCGAACCCGGGTCTTCAGCGTGACGAGCGAACGCTTTAACCACTAGGCTAACCAACCGCCCCAGATGCCAATTAGAAATCCAACACTTCATGTGTTATATGTTGCTTCATACCCCTCACTTAGTTGAGGCAAGTGTCGATAAGAGACCTGGCACATATTAGATATTATATAGCACATCGCTGTATCTTTGAGATATCCTCCCAACATATAGAGTAAACTACGGTTATAACAAACTCTCTGATAACGAACTGACGGATATAACAAACTTACTTTTTAGTCCCAACTATTTGCTGTAGTTATGCTGTATATATGCTTATAATGAACTACGGTTATAACGAACTAAAAATAGTAGTCACTTTGAGTTCGTTATAACCGTAGTTTACTGTATCATTTAATGGAAGTCATGGAGCTCCTGCCAATAAAACTAATGTTATCTTCACTATGTTCAGCAGGAGGGAATATTAATTCTTTCATGAGGTATTTGTAAACCATGGTAACGGATGCCAAAGGTAAAAAAGCACACTGAGCAATATGACACATGTAACAATACACTGAAAGATTTCAAAGTAAATGTTTTTTTGTTTGTTTGTTTGTTGTTGTACATCATACTCAGCAATATTCCAGCTACATGATGTCAGTCTGTAAATGATCGAGTCTGGACCAGAAAATTCAGTGATTGATGTCATGAGCATCGATCTTAGCAATTGGGATACAATGACATCCATCAACCAAGCTTGACAACCCGATCCCGGTAGTCACCTCTTACGACAAGCATAGTCGCCTTTTACGGCAAGCATGGGTTTTACCCCAGATCTTCATAGGGCTTAAAGTTATTGAAAACAAACTATTTCAGAATTAATCCTACTGATTGATACATACTGCCTCAAATTTAAAATTGTTAGAATGTGATACTGTTCACAAGATAAACCACAGATGATATGACTGCTTATTTAAATATCTAGCTGATTCAATATTCCAATGGTTGATGCCACCATATGACAGCTGTATGTTTAAACAGTATGTTACATTAATCAATAGAATAGGGATGTAGCTGTGAGATGCTGCAGTGAAAGCATTTATTTTACCTCACAGTCAGCAATATTCAAACTACCTGTGTATTACGGAGACCTGTATATAATGGAATCTAGGTGAGACAAAGAAACCAGTGACTGAAAGCTAAAATCAACATTTTATGTTGTCAGGGTACAATGACACATCAATGACAGAACTTGTCCTATTCAGACTGTTGAAATTGTTACACATCTCAGGGTATCGACACAGGTTGACAAACATGAGGTACTGTGGCCTTCTCTGGCCCACCATCCACACAGGGTGACAAACATCAGATACTATGGCCTCCTCTGTCCCACCATCCACACAGGGTGACAAACATGAGATACTGTGGACCCCTCCGGCCAACCATCCACACAAGGTGACAAACATGAGATACTGTGGACCTCTCTGGCCTGGCATCCACACAAGGTGACAAACATGAGATATTATGGCCCTCTCTGGCCAACCATCCACACAAGGTGACAAACATGAGATACTGTGGCCCTCTCCGGCCAACCATCCACACAAGGTGACAAACATGAGATACTGTGGACCTCTCTGGCCAACCATCCACACAGGGTGACAAACATGAGATACTGTGGACCTCTCTGGCCAACCATCCACACAGGGTGACAAACATGAGATACTGTGGCCCTCTCCGGCCAACCATCCACACAAGGTGACAAACATGAGACACTGTGGACCTCTCCGGCCTACCATCCACACAAGGTGACAAACATGAGATACTGTGGACCCCTCCGGCCTACCATCCACACAGGCTGACAAACATGAGATACTGTGGACCCCTCCGGCCTACCATCCACACAGGGTGACAAACATGAGATACTGTAGACCCCTCCGGCCTACCATCCACACAAGGTGACAAACATGAGATACTGTGGACCTCTCTGGCCTGGCATCCACACAAGGTGACAAACATGAGATATTATGGCCCTCTCTGGCCAACCATCCACACAAGGTGACAAACATGAGATACTGTGGCCCTCTCCGGCCAACCATCCACACAAGGTGACAAACATGAAATACTGTGGACCTCTCTGGCCAACCATCCACACAGGGTGACAAACATGAGATACTGTGGACCTCTCTGGCCCACCATCCACACAGGGTGACAAACATGAGATACTGTGGACCTCTCTGGCCAACCATCCACACAGGGTGACAAACATGAGATACTGTGGCCCTCTCCGGCCAACCATCCACACAAGGTGACAAACATGAGACACTGTGGACCTCTCCGGCCTACCATCCACACAAGGTGACAAACATGAGATACTGTGGACCCCTCCGGCCTACCATCCACACAAGGTGACAAACATGAGATACTGTGGACCCCTCCGGCCTACCATCCACACAAGGTGACAAACATGAGACACTGTGGACCTCTCCGGCCCACCATCCACACAAGGTGACAAACATGAGACACTGTGGACCTCTCTGGCCGACCATCCACAGAGGGTGACAAACATGAGACACTGTGGACCTCTCTGTCCCACCATCCACACAGGCTGACAAACATGAGATACTGTGGCCCTCTCTGGCCTACCATCCACACAGGGTGACAAACATTAGATACTATGGACCCCTCCGGCCAACCATCCACACAGGGTGACAAACATGAGATACTGTGGACCCCTCCGGCCTACCATCCACACAGGTTGACAAACATGAGATACTGTGGACCCCTCCGGCCAACCATCCACACAGGGTGACAAACATGAGACACTGTGGACCTCTCTGTCCCACCATCCACACAGGGTGACAAACATGAGATACTGTGGCCTTCTCTGGCCAACCATCCACACAAGGTGACAAACATGAGATACTGTGGACCCCTCTGGTCCACCATCCACACAAGGTGACAAACATGAGATACTGTGGCCATCTCTGGCCCACCATCCACACAAGGTGACAAATATGAGATACTGTGGACCTCTCTTGCCCACCATCCACAAAAGGTGACAAACATGAGATACTGTGGACCTCTCTGGTCCACCATCCACACAAGGTGACAAACATGAGATACTGTGGCCATCTCTGGCCCACCACCACACAAGGTGACAAACATGAGATACTGTGGACCTCTCTGGCCCACCATCCACACAAGGTGACAAATATGAGATACTGTGGACCTCTCTTGCCCACCATCCACACAAGGTGACAAACATGAGATACTGTGGACCTCTCTGGCCCACCATCCACAATAGGTGACAAACATGAGATACTGTGGACCTCTCTGGCCCACCACCCACACAAGGTGACAAACATGAGATACTGTGGACCTCTCTGGCCCACCATCCACAATAGGTGACAAATATGAGATACTGTGGACCTCTCTGGCCCAACACCCACACAAGGTGACAAACATGAGATACTGTGGCCCTCTCTGGCCCAGCATAAACATAGGGTGACAAACATGAAGTACATAGAATACATGTAAACCTTGTATTAAACTATAAATTCTCCATCAAACATAGGATAGGATCGGTTG